TTAGAGATATATATATATATATATATATATATATATATATATATATATATATATATATATATATAGTTAACCTGAATAAAAATTAAAGATATATATATATATATATATATATATATATAGTAAACTTGAATAAATATTAAAGATATATATATATATATATATATATATATATATATGTAAGTGTGTGTGTGCGTGTGTATGTGTTTATGCATGATCATTTAATTAATGAGCTTTTAAAAATAGAGAAACTGATAAGCTTGAAAAAATGTCACCATACCAGATAAAAAAAACAGATGGAGAGAGAGAGAGAGAGACAGAAAGAGAGAGAGGAGAGAGAGAGATAAAGAGAGAGAGAGAAGGTGAAAGAAAGAAAAAGATGATGAGAAGAAAGTAAGAAAGAGAGAAGGAGGAAAAGTTAAACAAAATTTTTAGAAATATTGAGTAATAGGAGGTGGCAAAAAAATTTTCATTTCAAAATGGAAAGGACAACAAAATGATGAAAATAAAAAAGGAATGAAAAAGAGAGATATATATATATAAACTGAGAGAGAGAGAGAGAGAGGGAGGGAGAAAAGGGGAGAGAGAGGAGAAAGAGAGAATGGAGGATTATCGCTACGTTATCAGAGTTTGTTGCAGTCATTAAGTTGTATTTGGGCGTTTTTTGTATACAATATTATGATCGATGATATTTCTGTTGATGTTGTTGTTGCTGATGTTGATGTTGTTGTTGTTGATGTTGTTGCTGAAGTTGTTGTTGTGGATGTTGTTGTTATTGATGTCGTTAATGTGTTGTTGTTGCTGATGTTGTTGATGTTGTTGCTGAGGATGTTGTTGATGATGTTGTTTTTGATGTTGTTGTTGGTGGTGGTGGTGTTATTGATGTTCACTCGTACTACTTAAAACATCAACAAAAACAACAACAACATCAACAACAACAAAAGCAACAACAACAGTAGCAACCCAGTAAGACATTTAAAACGTTGAGATAAAACTAAACTAAGTTTTCTTATCGCCTAGTAACGCTTCGATAAAGCATTTAATCGTCAATGGATTTTGTTGTTGTTGTTTTTGTTGTTATTATTAATATTGTTGTTGTTGTTGTTGCTGTTGTTGTTTTATGATGAAGTTGCTCTCAAAATTTAATTTTATAATTTCATGATGTTAATGCTTAAAATAGAATTTGTAATGCAGACGTTAGTATGTTAGGCCCACGACATACATTCACACCCACCCACTTACAAACAAACAAACAAGCAAGCAAGCAAACAAACAAACAAAAAACATACATACATACATACAAACAATTGAAGCTGCTCCTGCTCATTCTTCACTTTCAACTCCTAACAATAACATCAATAAAAACAACTCTAATTCCAGTGGCCACGAAGGCTCTTGGAGCACTGTTACTTCAAAAAAAAAAAAAAAATACACTCCAATTACTGTAGGTTCCAAACAACCTGGGTCCTTCAAATTATCTGCAGCTCCTTTGCCTCCCAAAAAAATTGTTTTTGGGGTAGGTACATTGAAAAGCTGCGTCAAAGAAGAGATCCTTGAACATCTGGAAACTATTGGACTGACCGCTGCAGAATGCGTACCAGTCTTTAAATTCTCTCCCACTCGTCCTCATCCTTCAACCAGTGATCCATCAACAAAATTCCGCATAACTATTTTTAAACATCAGGAGATGATTTTTACCAATCCTGAAAATTGGCCTATCGGCGTGGAAATTCACCCCTGGTTGTTTCATGCTCGACCACAGCATTTGATAAAACCCACTACAACTTCACTACCAAATCATTATCCTGTCGACCTACCAAATGTTAATACACCATCGCTGGTCAACTCACATCAGCATGTAGAAAACACAGTTGAGGTAGCTTCCATTTTAACTTCTTCGGAAGAATCCACTCAGCCAGTCGAGCCAGTCACGATGGGCCCTTCTCAGCTGGTCGAACCACATAAACAACAACAAGCCTCATCGATGATGAGTCCTCCCTCCGATGTCAATTCTGCGACATCAATAAATCACGGCAATGGCTGTTAACAATACTTATTCCACAATCAATTCTATCCAACAACATCCTCAACCATCAAACAACGACGAAGATGATCAACACTTTAACGCATACAACACCCACATCGACCCCACAAAGAACATCCTAGATTCATTCACCAGACAGTCATCCTACTACACCACAAGAGATCTACTCAACATTCTAGAAGCCAAGTACATCAACAATCATGATCACCCTCTACCTCTACTTCACATAAACAGCAGAAGTCTTTTAAATAAAATTTCTGACATTTTAATTTTAAATAAATTTTTATCTTATTTTTTTCCCATTATTATTATT